GCACAGCCACAGTGCCGGCACTGCAGGGCCTTGGCCTGCACTCAGCATTCCCAAGTGCTTACAGCAACTTGGAAACAGTAAGAATAAATACCAAAATAATGCTTGCAAAACTTAAAAAATAAAATAAAACAAAGCTCACGGACACAAGAAGAGAGAGAACACTCATGTCCATGGTAGGTGTAAGGAAATGGAAAGCAAATCTAGAAATCTACATACTCTTGAGAAAATAAGTGATGGGGAGAGTGAACTTTAGGAACACTGTACAAGGGATTTAAGAACCAAATGAAGGATTTAAGCTGTGGGTGCAGGATGAAGATATCAGAAGATATCAGAAGTGATGAAGACAAGAGGTCCCAGCTGACGTGGGAGTGAGAAGGAGGACAGTGGCACGATGCAAACAGGAGGCTGAGGTGACTGAGCTGAGCCAGTCTGGCCCTGTCCACACAGGGAACAAATGTCCTACGAGAAAGAGGACAGCCACTCATGAACCCGAGTTTGCAACCATGCTCAAAGTTACAGAGTGGTCAACACAAATGTGAATTTCTCATACACAAAAGACAGCTGCATTAAATGAAACGTAACAAAATTAAATTAAAGAAGATCTCAAGATTTCATTTCCTTTCATGAGATGAAAATTAAAGGAATTAAATGAAACTGAAACAAATGAATTGAAATGAAGTGCAATGCAATGAAATGAAAATGAACATAACGAAATGAATTTAGATGAAATCTCAAGATTTCATTTCCTTTCATGAAATTAAAATTCAATGAAATGAACTGAAAATGACAAATGAAATGAAATCAAACATCAAAGATGAAATGAAATGAAACATCAAAAAATGAAGTGAACTGAAATGAAACTTCATGGGATAAAAGGAAAAGAAATTAAATGAAAAAAGTGAAAGGAAATGTAACAAGATGAAATAAAATGAAAATTGTCATTTTATTTCCTTTTAGAAAATGAAATCTCAAGATTTTATTGAATTTCATTTTGTTACATTTCCTTTCTTTTTTAATTTTTTCATTTAATTTTTTGCACTTTCATTTATTCTCATTATATACATTAAATTTAATTTAATTTTATTTCATTCCTTGATTTGTAATTTCTTTTTTTTGTGTATTTTAAAATTCCATTTATTTTCCTTTTATTACATGAAGTTACATCTTATTTCATTTAATTCCTTGCTTTGTCATTCTACAAAAGAAAATTAAATATTGAGATTTCATTTAATTGCATTTCCTTATTTTTAATTTTCATTCAATTAATTTAATTTCATTTCCTTCAAGTTCCATTTCATTTGTCTTCATTCCTTGATATCCTTTTCATTCCTTGTATGACGATTCATCTCATGAAAGGAACTGTCCAGATTGTTACATTTCACTTCATTTCATTCTTTGAAGTTTTATTGTGTTTCACTTGATTCCTTGCTTTTTGATTTAATTTAGTTTAATTTCATTCAGCTAAGTTTCATTTATTTTAATTTCATTCCACTGCTTGATTTTTCATTTCATTTCTCAGAAATGCAAGCTGCCCATTTTTGTGTCTTGGAGCCCTACCTCTTATTTTTGGAGCCCTAAATTCCAGGTGTTTATGTCCGGTGTTCCAGTGTTGGTGAAACGCCTGTGCTCTACAAGCGATGCACATTTTAAAGAGAATATGCAGCTGTCACTGTGGTCAGCTGAAGATTTACACTGGTGATCCCCGGCGTGCTCTCCATCCTGATAAACGTGACCGATAGCTGCACCCACCCAGAGAGGAGAAGCAGCAGCAAGTGGCACTGAGAATTCAGCGGTTTCACAGGGCAGCGAGGTGTCTCTCGCTTTTATTCTTTCACTCCTCAAAACTCTTGAGCATGATCCGTTCTCCTCGGAGTTAATGTTGAGCATACTTGAATGACTGAGAGTTCAACTATGGTCAAATTATTTTCCCTGCTCTAGTTTACAGTTAAAAAAAACCCCCAAAATTCCTACAGCTGCTGAACTGGAGCTTCTGTAAGCTTCCATGGGGGAGAGCACTGCCTGCAGCAGACCTGAGCTTTCTCCCCCTTTCCTGCTGGCACTCTGATCTCCCAAACGACCTTTGAAGAAAGGATCCCCATCTCATGTGAGAGCTTTCTGGCGACCTCGCTGCCAGGTGAGTTTAGCTTTTGCTGAGTCCGCAGCCTAGCACGAGGTGATCTAAGAGCTCCTGCTGCCAGGACGGGGAGGCTGCGTGTTCCCCTTTGCCCTCCTGGCTGTGCATTCCCACTGCTCGCCCTGCGCTGGCTCCGGGCCTCTCTGCGCAGCCTTCTGTGAGCTGACTCAACTCATTGTGCCGGCAAAACCCAGCGGGTGCCTTTGTGCGGGGCGGCAGCGAGCTGAAGCTCTGACTCAGCCGCTCTGATGAAATCACGGCCGCTGTTATTGGCAGACCAGCTCCGTGCCATAGAGTGCAAACAGCTCGCCCGCAATGCCAGCTCGGGTACCAGCACAGAGCTGGCTCTCTGCTGCCGCACATTGCTCTCAGTCGCACCCCTGCCAGGTGAGCCGGAGAGCTGCGAGTGCAGAGCGAGCCACATGCCCACTCAGCTCTGATGGAAGTGACTCCCCAACGGGCAGAGCAAAGGGCACTTTCCCAAACCCTTAGTGCTGGTAGTAAACTTGCAGTTGATTTTTTTTTTCTCCATAAATTTTGATGAGAGAAACAAAAAACCAACCCAAACCAAAAACTCCAACAACAACAACCAACCAACCAAAAAATGCCATTTGGTACAGCCTACTTCTAATTCAGCATTTCACAACCAAACCTTTCCCCCAACAACAACAACCAACCAACCAACCAAAAAACGCCATTTGGTACAGCCTACTTCTAATTCAGCATTTCACAACCAAACCTTTGGTACGCTGCAAAAACCATCAATATCATCCGCCCCCCAACCCAAACAAAAAATCAACACCAGGAACAAAACTCTGGCAAAAAAACATTCAGTCACAAGAAGGGGCACCAAGCACTGATTCCTGCTGTTTGTTATTACCTGTTGGCACTGCAGTAGTACTCTTCTTGGAATCTGACCAGGAAAAGGGACTGCTTAGTAGCACAGGGAAATTATGACACATTCAGTACAGCACAGTCACAGAAGATACATTGCAAATGACCTCTAGAACAGAAGAGAAGGTATCTCCTATTTTTCCTGGGTTTTCCTTTTTCTCTTCCTTTTCTGTGGCTGGATATAGAACCACAGAATTCATAGAAGTGCATGAATCACAGACATCACTGAAAGGTTTCAGAAGCACCACTTAAACAGAGACTCAAACTTCAGTCATTATATCAGGACACTGCCACCATTTTATAGCTTTAAGTGCACCGTAGTAGATGCACATCCTAAATCGCTTTTTCTCCCCATTTTTACTCTTGTTTTTGTTTGTGACAAACAAACTCACCATGGCTATATCTTGCACAAATCCCAGTGGAAATGAGCCCACTCCGATGAGCTGTAAGAGAACTAGGGATCTTTTAATTTGTTTGCTTCTTCTTCCTCCCTTTGTTGCCTGGGCTAATTTTATTTCTGCATATCTACAAGGATTCCTGCACGCCTGCCATTTGTGAAATTTTCATGTTGGCAGGCTGGACATGGGCCAAGCACCTCTCACTTGCACAATGGCAGCAGACAATGTGCTTTGAATTTTCTCTGCACGCAAAGGTCAGTGACCCTTCCTCATTCACTTGCCTGTTTCCCTGCTACCCTGTAGCTCGTAGATAAGTCATTGGCTGTTTTCTGCTGGCAGTTCTGCTTATGTAAGAAACTTCTTTTGCATTTGATGCGAATTAAGGCTCATCAGTTCTGTCACATGAAAGTTACCACTAAAAAATTGGAGAAATTGGCAATGCTCTGCCCTCTTCTTCAGGGCTGTTAAAGGCTTTATCATGCACTCAGTTCATGGTTCCCCACTGAAATGCAAAGTTTTCAGCAGCAAGGATTGCCTGGGTGTCAGAAGCTCTTTAGTTGATCCATGTGTTTTAACCAGTAAATGTAACTGCCTGGATCACCTAGGGAACACTAATGGTTTTGACTGACCTCCATGGGGTTTCATCTGAAAGCACCTGAGCCAATTGCTTTGAACAAATATTAGAAATGAGATGTCTGCAGATCACTTTCTCTCAGCACAGAGGCACAAGTTGGGCCATGGGCCCAGGAGAGGCAGCAAGGTGATGGGCTGCAGCTGCAAGGAGGTGCATGAAGACTTCTGGGGCTGCACTGGGCAGGGATGGGCAGCATTGCCAAACACTTCTCACACCTAGTGTGGTGTAAGCCAGGCTGCTCTGCAAAGAGCTGCAGAAACAGAAGAGGAGTCTGAGCAGAGCCCTAGTCCAGATGGCCACAGTTCTGTCCCGCCAGGCATCCTTGTTGTCCCTATGATGTGACATGGACATTACTAAAGACCTGCTGCTTCCCAGTTGGGGTAGGGCTCACCCTTCACCTCACTGCTGGACTACACCTGCTGTGCCATTGCTGCTGCAGTGCAAAATGTCCCAGCTGATGGCACATTGCTGTTCGAGGCTGTTCAAGCCATGGATCTTCTGCTTGTGACATCCTTGGTTACTCTCCACAAGGCAAAAGGGCCTTTCCAGAGCCTGCAGCATTGGGATCCTGTTGGGGAGGAAGGATGAGAGGTGCCACTAATAGAAAAAATCATTAACAGGTGGCTGTTGTGAAAAGCTTCAGACTTCCTGCACAGCCCGCTGAAACTTCATTTTAAAAAACAACAACAGCCACCCATGAACTTGTTTTTCTGGCACAAGAGGCTGGCATAGCAGGTGCTGACTTTGTGGCAGCCCTGAGGATCATCTCCCTGATGTTCCTACCTGTGAGCAGTCCAGTGGGAACCAGCCCTGATCCCATGGTTTCTGCCGCGTGCTCCAGTGAGCGCAGCTGCTACAGCAAACATGTACACCAATGCAGAGAGACCTCTCTTTCGTGGCACAGAAAACTGCCTGCACATCCTTCACATCAAAAGAAATTTCCATTTACTCTTTTTAGCTCAGACTTATTAATCACAGAGACATTTCCAAGCAAAATATGGATTTTCAGAAGAACACAGGAAAAAAGTTCATTCAGACAGGAGAAAGCACAGCTCAGCTGTGCTCATCAAACTTATTTTACCACGTACAAGTCCAGCTTTCTCTGTTTAATTTATGTTTGCCTTCCCACATACTTTTCCTACTTTTATCTCAGTTTACATTCTCTTCTCTCATGAACTGTCTTTCTTGCTTAAGAAAAATAAGAAACAAAATATTCTTCTGGTTTTCCTCTTTATCCCTTCCCATTTTGGTTTCACAGTGGACTCTCCTGGGATATGTTCCAGAGGTTTGGTTCTTTCCAAAACACTGGCAAATGTCAAGTAAGGTCAGTGCAGCACTGTCACCTTAAGGCTCCAGTCCTAGGTTGCTAATATGTGCCTCTTGCACGGGCAATAGACTCTGAGGTGTAAATGAGTCATCACAATATTAATAAGGATTGTGCTACAATTAAAACCTGTTGGAAGAAAGAGCAGGAAGGTTGGCAGGGAATGTGGTTAGAGGAGAGGAGTGTCTCTCTCTTTCCTTATGAAGTGGCCTATCTGTGAGAGGATTTCATGGGCAGGAAATGGCATGGAGCATAGAAAATATCTCCATCCTACAGCCCCTTCTATCCCTCCAAAATTCTCCACTTTGTGCATACCTCCCCTTGTATCTGGACTCTCCACTGACTTGGGAATAGCTACAACCCTTAGCACTGCTCTTTTGCTGGGGGAAAAAAAGACTTTTACTGTGGGAGGGTACAAAAATGCAGGCTGACCCCCGTGCCTTGCAGCTCCTGCCGTGTGCAGTAACTGCAGGCAGCACTGCAGGGCCAAAAGCAGAGGCAAGAGAGACTGGGCAAGGCAGCCCTGAGCCTGGCCCCTGCACAGGCAGCAGAGCAAGGCACTGGGGGAGTTATCACAGATGCCGTGGGGCTGTCACCTCCTGGTAATTTTGCTGTCATTAGGTGCTGCTCATAATGAGAAATCCTGATTTTACTGTGGTTCTGGTATGTTGTCCATAATTAGCGCGCAGTCCTTTAATACGAATTACCTTAGGTATTAGTTCCTTAAACATCAATTCAAAAATCACGTGAAAATTTACCTCTTCCTCAAATGAGTCATGAGTTAACACTGGGGTACTTACAATGCACTACTTAGACCTGCTTAATTAGTTAATCTCTGTAAAGGGGTTTCAAATGCGTGAAGAGCTATCAAACTGCTAAGTGCATTATCTTCAATTAATTTTGTGCAACTACATCTTCACTACCAAGAGGGTCTTTAGAGTGCTGAGGAAAGGAAAAGGAGACATTGCTTCTAATTTTAAAAGTAACTAATACAGAAAAAAGGGAATTAATTGAAAGATGATTTGACATGATGGGAATAATTGTGAATACACCGTTTCTTTTGTTTCAGCCAGAGCTGAATATGAAAGACTCATCATTTTTATCCCTCCTTTGCCTTTGTTAGTCTCTGGTTTCTTGGTTCCATCTCCTCTTGGCCTTAATGCTCTCCCTCACTGTCACTGAGTATTAACCCTCTCTCTTCCAAATTTGTTACTACTTTAGCAGAAAACCAACCAACACACAAAAAGGTTAAAAAAGGGCAAATCACACCAAACTGCTCTTCATACTGAAGTCACTGAGGTTATATCCTCATACAAGGATAAGGGATCTTGTTCCAAAAGAACCCTCCTGGACTTCCCTTCAGAAGAAGACACTAAAGGGCTACAACAGAGCTCCTGCAAGAGAACAGAGCCACATCCAGCCCAGGCAGTCGTGTTCCCTGGACCACTGTGGTAGCCAGTAAGTTCTTACTGTGTCTTTCAAAGTTTTCTATTCTCTTTGGAGCTTATATGCCTTGTTAAATATTCTCATTTTACTTCACCCATTAACAATCTGCTTTTGGAGTTCTCTCAAAATGGGTTCTTTGTGCTAATACTCTGTCTAGCTGGCAGCTTTATTCAGGCCAGCTACATTGAATTTGCCTTCCCCAAGAACCTATTTCCTGGGTTCTTTTTCTTCCACTGGCACTAACAAAAGATAAGAATTTTTTTTTTTGGTTGCTGAGTCTGATTTGTGTTTAGAGGTTTTTCACTTACCTATTCTTTCTTTTTCAGTAATGATTAATCATCACTTCTTGCTGACTGCTGAGGTCCCACACATTGTGAAAAATTCAGGCAGCTTGTTTCATATGAACATGCCTGAGCAGTGGTTATGCAGTTGAGTCCCCTTCACAGGGTTTGTGAAGTGGACAGGTAATGTGCATGTGCAAAAAATTTCTATCACATCTGGGCATTCCCTCAGCAGTTATTTGAAAACCTATTAATTTACCTTATTTTATCCAAAAGAAACTGGAATAGAGAATAGACTATTAGATGGCTACAGCTTTATTCTCTGCCTACTGTAAAACAACAGCTTAACCTGTTGTTAAGACATTTCTGAGACATTTCTCCAGTAAGCCAGAGTTGTGTACATGGTGATCCTCAGCACAGCAAGTTCCCAGGAAAGAACCTCTGCCACCAAACCAGAGAAACCTCTCCAATCCCTCCCCAGCTCAGTTCTACAAAAGGAACCAATGAGGGATATTAGTTGCTATCCAATCAATGGATACTAATTTAGCTGAAGGGCCTGATCTGCTCTAACCAGGCTATCTAGCTGAAGTAGAAGTGAAGTAGGTACCTAAGAGAGCAGCTTGAAAATGGGTAAGTTGTTAGGGGGTACAGAAAGAAGAGCAGGTCTACAAGAAGAAGCAAAGAAAGCTTCTTGCCCTCCCATACCTTCACCACTTGCATGTTTGTACAAAAGCTTCCAGGGTTCCTTCCTTTCACCTGGTATATCCATACAGTCCACACACACAGTGTGAGATGGGTAAGCCAGAAACTATTAAGAAAATAGTTAAACTAGAAGACAACCAGAAACTATTAAGAAAAGCCTAGATTGTTTCAACCTCAACCTAAAGCCCTACCTGAAGGATTAATGTGGTTTCCAAGAACCATTTAATTCATATGGGTGTCCCTCCTGCCTCTGACAGAAAGGTGGAATGGGGCCTGAAGAGACTATGACTGCTACCAAATCCAAAATGAAAGGATAGGGCTACCAGAATACTGAACCTGAAGTTAACCTGAAGCCTGACTTTCCTGAGGGGCATTTCCACAGAATAAACCTAATTGCAGGAGCTTATCAATAGTTGGCCAAAGAGGTGACAGGGCAGGGAGGACCCAGCAAAGTCTCAATGAACAGTCCAAGATTTTTGCTCCCTCCCCTTGATGACTGTAAAAAAAAAGGGGTAAAAAATTTCTTCCTCAAAGGGTTCTTTTTCATACCAACATTTCAAAAGATCTATTGCCAATAAATTAAGACAGAACAAAAAACAATGTATGTCCTGGTGGCAAGGGAAGATGCACTCCTTCTCTGTCCCTGTCACGTCAGAAGAGCAGCTCCAGCAGAGCTCTCTGGGCCGTACTGTGCCCTCACAGCAGCACCGGTGTGACGTAGTTGGCAGGGAAGAGACCCAGTTCCCCACGCAGGCGTCCTTTCCACCAGGATGGGTTGGAGCTGTCCAGGACCTCTAAGATGTCCCCAGTGCGGAAGCCCAGCTCATCGTGCTCCAGAGCATCAAAGTCGTACAGGGCACGGACCCACAGCGTTCGCTGGAAAGGAGAGAAGAGACAGGCAGGGAACAAGGAGCCAGGACTTTCAAAGATCACCTTTGTCACCCCTCTGAAGACCCAGTAAATACATTCACTTAGCAAGGACAAGCAGTGCTGAATTTTAGACCAACTTGCAATTAAACCAGGAAGTGGCCAAGATGCCAGGAAGGAGGGACCAATTAACTGGGACACCTGAGGGATGGTGTTTGGTTTCTCAGCAGCCTCAGTGTATGTGTGGGTATTTGCACCATAAGGTGAAAAGTCAGACGGAGAGCAGCTCCTTAGGGAATTGTGTTCTCATGGTATTACTGCCTCTTCCCTGTAAGGGCAGCCAAGACAGCCACATTTGAAGCCAGTTATGGGAGCACAGAAGGAGTCCTACCTGAGACCTTCTGGGCTGTAACTATTAGGGAATGGCTCTAGGGAGCTGGCCTGCTGCTGGGACAGATACGAAAATATGTCCTCAGCCAGTCGAGAGAGAGCCAGCACAGAGGCAAGAGTAGAGAACATTGTAAAGAAGGATAAAGAAGGATACTTGCTCTTTCAGGCACTTTTGGGGCATAAGGGAGGGTGTTAAACCTTGTTCAGATTCTCCCCAAGGTCAGGTCCCTGAGATCCAAAGGATTTAGTGTCTGTTTGGGTATATCAGTTTATCTGGGGTGCGCACTGTAATGTACACTATGGTTAAATTTTTTCTAAAGGACTTTGCAGTCAATCTCCAACTCTTGCCAGAAATCATATTTTAAAGGAGATAGCTTGGGTTTCTTTCTGGGAAATTGCTGGCATCCACACCACCAGGCATGGATAATTTAGGAGGTATATCTGGCAGGGACAGATGGAGAGATCTGTTTGAAGGCAGACAAATTTTGATAAATCTTCTCTTCAGGGCCCCGCTTAGACCTTGCCCCTAGTTATTTGGGTGGACATATAGAACTTCTTGTAATTGGATTTGTGGCTTCAACATCACTGATGGGATGTTGCAGGCAAAAGCATGTTGTTATTCATTGTCACAGCTTCTGAGAGATAAAAACCATTGTATTTTAAGCTGGATTATATTAAAGATTTGGGGCTTTTCCCAAGAAGAGGGGCATGCCCCTATTTTTTAACATGTTCCAAATCTCCTAATCCAATTGATCTTTTACACTCATTCTTGAGAAAGGTCTGCTGTCCTTCCCTTCTTTCCTTGGTTCCCTGGTTATGGGCTAAGCTGGACATTTCTTCAAGGAAGAGGAGCATCCTTAGGTCACACTGAGCTGATGGGGAAAGGCTTTGTAGCGGGCAGTGGAATCACAGAAAGACACCACATTCTGTGTGGGCATTCACACAGTGGGACTTGGCAGAGCAGGTAGTGACTGAAGGTCAAGTGCCAGGTTTGGATCCCGCAGGGGAGTGGTCTGGGGTGTCTGCAGAGACACATCTGGACACATCCACTGTGCTAAGAGGCTCTGACAGCCAAGGGTGTCAGGTAGGTGAGTCCTGCTTTGATGGCAAAGGAGGTCTGAGAGATGTGCCAGGCACAGACAAATGGAGCTGGGTGATCTCAGGCCTTCTCAGGACTGCAGCAAAAATTAATGGAAGAGACAGTGTGACTACAAGTGTATTGCGAGATAGGAGGAGCACTGGTACAGTACAGTGGTACAGTGGTACAGTATCATAAGACTGCTCTCCAAAGAACTTAAAAAATGTACTGCACATTTAGCTACTGACGTCAGTCACTGCCTGGCTGTGGGCAAAGATAATTGAAAGCCCTGTGCATTAATGGACATGAAGTTCTACTAGAGGAGATCATTAGGCTTTCAGAAATGTCTTCTGCTGGACTGGTCTCGTGCTTGATCAAAACCCATGGGTGAGCTTGTGCTCATTCCAATGTCCCAGATGGGGATTGTCCCTATTTTGCTGAGCTCATGCTAAGTTCCCTCTTCCACTGAGGCTGCATAAGACTGACCTTGAGAGCAGTTACCAGAACTATGCTCACATAACCCTGTAGTCCTACCTTCAGAGTGTCCCAGCAGCAGATTCAAGTGGCTGGGATAGAATCTTGAGACTCAGAAATGTCTTGTAAGTCATGGCCTGGCAGGAAAAATACACTACTTCTAATGCAACCTCCATGTAAATGACACTGTCCAGATTGCTTGCCATTGCTGAGGGACCCAGATTTGGGCAGATGAGGCCCTCCAGGTGCATCACCTACCGGCATCTGCTGGTGCAGTGGGTCTGTGTGTCTCCGTTGCATAGCACCTGCACCTCCTTGGCCATGGTCCCTTGGTCTATGCATCATGTCTTTCCTGTCCAGACTCCCACCATATCTTTCCTAGAAAGAAAACAGCAGCAGAAAAGTCATGTTGTTGTGGTTTTGGCTGGAATAGAGTTAATTTTCTTTGTAATAGCTGTGTTTTGGTTTTAGTATGTGAATGCTGCTGATAATACACTAATGTTTCAGTTGTTGCTAAGTAGTGACTCACTCTAAATCAAGGCTTTCTCAGTGTCTGGCCAAAGGGATATTCCATACTCTAGAACACCATACCCAGTATATAAACTGGGGGGAGTTGGCCAGAAGAGACCAATAACTGGTCAGGGACTGGCATCAGCCAGTGGGTGATGAGTAATTATATTGTGCATCGCTTCTTTTTCTTGAGTTTTATTCCTCTCTCTTTCTCTTTGTTATTTCCCTTTAAGTAAATAGAAAATAATAGTAACAACTATTATTATTACTACTACTACTATTTACTCTATTTCAATTATTAATCTGTTCTTATCTCAACCCACGAGTTTTTCCTTTTTCCTGATTCTTTCCCTACTCCCACCAGGGGAAGGAGGAGTGATTGAGTGGCTGCATGGTACTTAGTTGCCAGCTGAGATTAAACCACGACACATATATATTCTGAGGTGTATAAATGAGGGGATTTAAGAGTCGTTAGTGGGCAAGTAGTCAGGGGCAAGCCAACACATGAATAATTTTAGATGTCTGCTTCCAATAAAGTTCCTGTGCTTCAGTTCTGCAAGTAATGACCCTCATGGAAGAGCTTAGACTGTTCTATTTTGGGTTTTACTTCTTAAGAGTTGAAAGCTGTCTGTCCTCAGCTGTGTTTCACAGCTGCTGGGACAACTGGTCCGAGAGGGGTTTTTTTTTTGGTCTCTGAGACTTTTGTAGAAAAACTGAGGTTTTTCTAAGTCACAGATAAAAACCATGCTTGCCAAGGGGACTTCAGCCAGTCTGGAGTTATTATGACCCAGTCCTGCCCACTCCCTGCTCTTCCTCTGCCCCATACCCTGGGGGAACATCAGTTGTGCTGGTGCAGCTGACTGTATCTGAGGACTCACTACTTTACCTTGTCTTGGGCTGCTCCATACTGTAAAGGACAGCAAGCAGGCCTATGAATCTAGTAGCTAAATTAGCCAAAGAAGAATGAGACAAAATCAAATTCCAAGAAAAGGAGCCATATGACCTCACATCTCAGTCATACCAACACAAATTGGCCCAGGCAGATAAAGAGAAGAAGTAGGAAACATCTAGGAAACAAGTTCTCTTTTGTGTGCACAGCTGAGAGATGCAGATTTTTGACAAAATGACTGCTCACTCACTACTAAGCAGTAAAAGCCAATGTTTCATGTCCTAGCCCCTTGTTCCTGGTAGTACCTGCTGCTGCTGCAGTATGGGAACAGGATGCTCTACATATCTCTTGGATATAGAAGAATGATCTTCTCCAGCTGCTCCTCCCATGTGGAATCCTTCCCGGCCTACCCGTTCCAGGCTCCCACCACGCCTCTCCTGAAGGAAGAAAAATCACAAAGATGAGGTCAGATTTTGCTTCCTACCACGTCCTTGTTTAAAGCTGTGCAATCAATGCACACTGAGCACTACCACTATCCACTAATCTGGAGGCTCTTTCAAATAAAAGACCTCACCTCTCTGAACAGAAGAACAAATCAGGAATCCTGTATTTTAGATCTTTGTCGTAGCCACTCTCTATCTGAAGTCAGGGTAGTACTGGGCAGTGCTGGGCCGAAAATATGGCTGCTGATGTGAGGATCAGCACAGGAGCCAAGCTCTTTCTTGAAATACTGCCCTTAGAATTCATTTGTCTCTGCACTAAAATCTATATATTACAATCATTTTATCATATGGCTGTAGCATCTAAAAATTTTAATTGTGAACAGGAACCCCACTGTGATGAGTGCTAAACATACTCTGCTGTGCCCATCACCATAACAAATATAAAGAGAGTTTGCCAAAGCAAACTTGAGTTCTGTTCTTTCATTTGCCTGTCTGCATCTTGGAGCAAATGCATCTCTTTCCCTTCCTGCTCATAGTCAGCCCAAACAGGTTGTTATACTGATATACATGCATACAGTCTTTCTTTCCTTCCCCAGACACAGAGATTCATCACTGTGATCTCTCTCTTACAGATCCCAGAGCCTCTACTTTAATACCTTAGTAGTGCGTTTTTAAAGCTCTGTGTAAGTGGTCTAGAAAGAGACAACAACCCAGGCCCATTCTTCAGACTGAAAATGTATCATCTCTCATTTTGAGCCAGCAAGAATGACCCACATGCAGCCTATAAAACTTTACTGCTGTAGTCAGCAGGTCACGGACTTTCTGCCTTGCCTCTACTTGCACATCCTGGTAATTTAATACCAGAGTCCGTTTCCCAGTAAAGCAGGACTTTGGTTGCTGCAGTGACCAGGCATGTTCACTCCCAGTACAGGGAGTGCAAGGTGTATCAGCCTCTGCTATGTCATTTGCTTGTTCCCCTGGCACAAAACCAGGCATTCATTGGACTGGGGTTTGTCTGCCTTCTCAAACATTGACTATACCTTCCCTGAAGGCACATCTTGTTCCCAGATCTCCTATGTTCTTGGTACTTTCCAGTTCCTAACAGCCAGGTTAACTTCTCCAGATTCTGCCCTGGGCTCCTCTACATTCCTTTTACTGTGTTTGCTCAGTAGCAGAAGATGGACAATTCTTCTGAGCAGACAAACTTGCAGGTGTAGTTGCACTCTGGGTGCGTGCAAGGGAATTAAGAAACCAGACTCAAATTCTTCTCAGTCACAACCCACCAGTCAGCTCCGTACCTGCCCTTAGGAAATCTAGGCATTTTCAGTAAGGTAAGTCTTGCTTCCCTTGGCATCTTAGAATATCAGCTCTGAGGTTTTAGCACAGGTTTAGCAAAGCACCTCTATTCAGATTTGAAGAATCAAAAAATTAAAGAATCGAAAAACTAAGAATCTGTGTCTCAGGCTCCACCAGTGTGTTTATGTGGCTGGGTTTCCAGGGACAGACTGTCCTCCTCTTCACCCTGAGACCTTATCATGGGATGAACTCCTTCCACAGAAAGGTTTCTGACTGAGAAAGGTTTCTGACTGACTCCTAAGGACAGTTTGTGTTTACCTTTTCTTCTTGGCTGTTGTCCCTTAGGAAGATCTGCTTCTGCCTGGAGATGGAAGTGGTCTTGTAGTAGTCCACCAGCTTGTTTAGAGAGTGGAATTTCTCTGTCCACAAGTAATAGCTACCCTTTGCATCCCTCATCACTTTGAAGTGTTGCACATCATCTTCATGCCTGGATCCCAATGGAAAAGAGATCATCAACAGATTGCACTTTTACCTTTTTCAAGAAAGTCTAGAAGGGTACCAAAACTTCTTGCTTGGCCAAATCTAGACTTCTGGAAAGTCATGCAGTGGCAGTCCTTGTGTGTACTGGGCCCAGATGTGGCTCTGTTTCAAAAGACTCATGGATTTGCAAAGAGAGAGTGCCCCAGGGCTGCCCAGTCACAAAGCGCTATCAGAACAAAGCATAGGGTTTTAAACCCTCTCTTTTGAAATAAAGGTCACAGGAGCTTCCAGGGTGAAAAAGTTCGGTTGTAGTCTACCTAACAGCCTCTGCAGGTCCTGTTAACATCCAGTCTGCATTGACTATAAGACCTGTATTACACCTTTGCACACCATGGGGATCACCACCACATGCAGACACAGACATATGAAGCCATACACTAAGCTTTAAGATGGTATAAAATCCAGTGTAACATCATTACTACAGGTCATTCTCACTATCCAAAAAGAAAAAAAAAAAAGACATTTTCTGTTGCTGTTACAAGCCAAATTAACAATCTCAACCTTCTGTCCCTTATTCCCCCTGCACCTCCTCTCCTCTCACCTCTTGTCTGATGTGTACAATTCCTCTCTGCACCAGATGTGATCTGGCTTTGGTACCCACCTCCTTGCTCTGTGCAACTCCAGGCACTCAAAACACTCTTCTCAGAGGCTACATCTGCACAAATAAACTTAATGGGGACAGGCAGGGACTGAATGCTTCCCTTGACTGCTACAGCCCCAAGCTGTTGAAGTGTTAGCGTGGCTGTGGTTTAAATGGAAAAGCTCTCCCTTAGATAGTGCTGGGCCATGGTCAGAAAGAACAGGCCAGGAACTGTTCACAGGGAGCTGCTTGAACACAGCTCTTCTGTTTGGTGGGGTGAAGAGGGTGCAGCCATACAGATCTGACCTCTGCCTCACTGCTTGACTTCAGGCCAGAAAAAGAGCCTGACTGTACTTGATTTGCTGGTGTTAATTGGTGCAAATGTAACCAGAATGTTTTCCTGCATTCCTCCTGGATACTTTTTGAACTGCCTGAATCAGCAAGTACACACCACTTGGAAAAGACTAATCATGACTTGTTAATCATGACTCTAAAACTGGTTATCAACTATTTGACTGAAAATTGGGAAACCAAACATCATTTAAGAGCTCTGCTTAGAAGCAGATGCACTGAGAAGTGCTGGAATACAGAAAGCTGCTGAAATGCAGCTGGGCTGCAAGCAATGGAAAACCAGTCCTTGTCCAATGGCTGTTTAGTGACCTGTGGGAAATAAGTTAACAATGTAGTAGTAATCTCTTCATAGCTAGTAGCTGAATTCTTGCATTTGGTAACCAGAGCTCTCAGGGAATTAAAACAAATGGAAGACACATGTTAAGCACAGTGGGAGACTTTCCCTGTACCATTCTGCTTTGCTGTAGCTCTTTCAAAGAAGGAGGTCACCAGGGGATGCAGCCTTGGAATGGGGCATTCACTGTGTCACTTGAAAAGAGGCAGAAACATTTGGGAATCAGATGCCTAATTTGTTCTCATTCACAACGCAGCAGCACCACCAGTGACTGGCAGCATGCAAACTTCTCATGAGCCTACATGACATTAGGAATCCATATGAGAGGAGGCTAGAGACACCATTAAACAGGAAAAGAAGCAGGAATATGCTGTTAGAAGCAGATACCTGACAGAGATGGAGAAGTCACCATGAGAGTTCTGACTGGCTCGGACGATGAAGCAGCCGACTCCTTTGCTCATGAGAAGGTTCTCTGCTTCGTGGCGGGATATCTTGTCATCAAACCAGCTGTCAAATGGGAAAAATCATGGAGATGTGAATAAGGATGTTAATTAAGGTGAGGAATAAAAACATTGAGGGTAGGGAGAATGTGCATAAGCAGGGTGGAGGGAAGAAAACAAAAGGATCAGAGGAGCCTATATGGCTCCTCCCAGTATATGCTGAGGTACAGGGGTTTGATGGATGCAGACCATTTTCTTTGAGTAGTAAAAGCATGTACATGCAAAGAGAACAATGTAAGCTTTGGTCTGCTAAGAAGCAACACTCAGCCGAAACTGTAATTACTGACACAGTACAATAAAGTGTTAGTCAAAGAAATTTTAAATGACAAATGTGTATGTATACATATATGCACACATAATTCTCAGACATATACATCAAATTCCTTTTTGGCAAACTGATTGAAAATTACTGGGCTGTGATGGATATATTGCATGGAACACACATAAATTTTTAGTAGAAGCAAGCCATGAAAGTTTTACTACTAATAAATTGGTTCCTGCAAGAGTTGCAATATCACAACATCACAGAAGCACAGAATACATAAGCACACTTACACAAATCTAGCCAGGCATAACAAACAACAGCATAAGGCACTGGACTAATAATAAGAAAGTCACCATAAATAGTAAAATAATATGATGTCAGTAGGAATTTTTCAGTAGAGAAACACAAAATCACATACATTTGCATATATCCACTCCATAGCTAATAAGATCCACAATCTGCAGTCTTTGACTTCACCTAATACATAATTGCCTGTATTGCATTAAGATTAAGGACTGTTAAGTTCCTAACATCTGTCATTTCTGCTTTGGAATTCCTTATTATCATCACAGTTTACCTATGTATCATTAGCAAAGAAAAATCAGATGAGCCTTGATAACTAATCTCAATGATTACTTAACACGAAAAAGATGGGCAAAAACAATCCATCAAAAATAGGAGGCAGCTTTCTTCCCTACGTCTAGTTCTGTCATCTGGCCTGAACTGCTCCAAAGTGCAGACCTGGCGCTTAGAAAAGTGTCAAAGTGAAAATATTTCTTCGCAGCTCTTGCACAGAGAAAGCAACATGAGAAAAATTTGTGTGAAAAAAGAAGCTGCCAGTGCTCCTGTGTGATGGCACAGCCCTGCGAAAGAGTGAACAAGAACAACTGACTGGAAGATCTCATCCCCCTAAGGCCCAAAAGTACAAGTCCGTATTTGCACAGCAAACGAATAATGTCCTTCAGCTCAGCCAAGTAGGTTGGCTTATGTCCAAAAAGGCCAGGAAGTGCCACCTCCAAAGGGGACAGAGGCACTTACTTGTAACCTCCAAATCCCTGTGAGCTCCCAGCGTGACTGCTGAGGGCACCAGTGCGTTACAGCCACCAGTACTGGGCTTGGTGCCCTGCTTGTTCACCCCTGAAATGCTGCAGCACTTCTGAAAAAAGAGGACAATGAGGGGTGCTGCTGGGAGCCTTTCTCCTGACTGAAAAGTTGTAAAAATCCCATGCACTGTCATATTTATGGCAGGGGGCTGCAGAGCACATTTAACATGATTCCAACGCGCATCAGTCCTTTCTGAAAGCGCAGTTCCGTCTCCTCAGCGGGAAGAGAGAAGTGCAGGTACGCCTGTGCCCTGACAGATGTGTGTGTGTGACAGCGAGCAGGGCGGCACGTCTGGCTGTCAGCGCTGCCAGTCACAGCAGCTGCCACCGCCGCGCAGCATCGCACTGACCCCTAGTGCCCCGACACACACTCACAGGCGCTGCCGCGGGAGGGAATGCCGCGCCAGCCTGGGAAAAGGGACTCAGCGTCGTTAAGGGTCGAAGGGGCGGAAATTTTTTTTTTTATAATTCATTTACTTGCTCTTCCTTTTGTGCTTAGCCTCTGTTCCCAAGACTTCACATCATGACTATTCTTCCTCTCTCTGAGGACATCTAAATGCAATTCCTGCCACATCCCAGCATCCCTCTGCGCAGCAGTAACAAAAGAGTCACTTGGGACTGACAGCGATCATCGAGATCCATTTAGCTCCAAAAGAGCAGAGGATGCTTTGGGCTAGAAATACACTGTGCTGGCAGAACCGTGTGTAGCATTATGGCAATCCCGGCCAGCCCCAAAGTGTAGGATGCCATGCCCAGCACTTCTCCTGTCCTGTCCTCTGTGCGCCGTCCTGACAGCACTCGGTGCTGTCACCATGGTGGTGACACCATTCCTGTCACACTTACGGGGGAACATGGAAATCAATGAAGTTCTTGGGAACGTAGCCCTCGTGACTTCGGAGCTCAGCCTTGTACCACTCTTCCTGGGAGCTCAAAACCTGCAATGGAGAAATGGATGGAATAAATGTGTCTCCCGAGACAGGCAAAAGTAACCAAGATTCAGGAAGAAACCTAGAATGTCTTGTAAGAATAGAAGAAAATGGTACACATTGTCTTCTCCCCACCCATGGTGAAACAAGGTTAGTGGCTGATGACCAGTTCAGAGCAAGCAAGCAACAAAAAAGCCCAAGTAGAATTAGAGAGATGGCTTATTAACTCTACCCCTTTGTCTGACTGCCTATCCGTGTATTTCTTACACCTGTGAAATGGAGAAATTCAGCTTTGAAAGACTTAGTAGGGGTTTAATTTATTCTCTGTGCTCCCTTTTGTAGTTGGTACTGGAGCATCTCAGATTCACAAGGGAAGAAGAAAATATCTGTGAAAAGTCCTCTGACATATGGGTGTGGAGGGATATGCAGCTGTGTCTGTGTGTGTTATGGATGCACAGATGTTACCATGTGCTCTCACCTGTCATTTCACAAGAGATTCTTTAGTGGCTTAAGTCTTCAGGTGCCCTGAGCTTTGCCAAGGTAGCTATAAGAAGGAGGCAAAAAGTGTTTTCAAGACACTATTATACTTAGGAGATTGTAGGATAGCTGGAAGTGAGTCCACATCACACACTGGAGCAGCTTCAAGTGTGTTCACATTAATGTTAACTGTAATGGTCCTTGGAAACATCACTGCTGACCAGGGAGGGCCCAAATCCATGGCACCCTGGCTGATGGCCCAAGACACAGCCCTAAGCTGGAGGAGAGAGGACAGGACTACAACCACATTGGGATTTTACTGCAAATGTTGTGGTCTTTGGTGTTTTGTTTGACATTCCAGCTCCTGGGGCAGGATTCTGCTGTATGAAATAGACCATATTTCTGCTCTTTCTGGTTTTGGAGAGGAACCTAAAAGCATGAGCCATGACAGTTTTAAAAGGAAAAAGCCAGTGGAAAAGACTTAATTTAAAATCTATTGTTAACAGTAATAATACTTACTTTCTGAGCCAGTCTCATGGTTTTGGGAGCCTAAGGCACATTTTAACTGCTTTGTATTGGCAACACGATGTTACTGTCTCTGGAGCCAATTCTTCATTGCCTCCCCTGCCACGTAGGCCTTTTTCAAACATTTGGATTCAGAAAAGTTAAGGAATAGAAAGCTGTGGAATTCCCTACTTGTATAGTCACTGCTGCCCTCATGCCTGGGTGCTGGGTTAAGGATCTTTTTTCACTGCTGTGGCCAAACACAGGGGATGATAAACACTTCCTGCTCTCTTGGAAGTGAGGTTTCCCACCAGCTGTTTGCCACTGCAGAGCTGGCACGTTTCTCTCAGCGTGTCATCCTCTCAGAGAAGGATGTGGGGGGGGTAAGAGGGTGGATTTCCTCCTGTCACTGCTGGCTGAGGGCCTCATGTTTCCTGTTTTGTAATCTCTACATCAATACTCCACCTTATCTCCTTCATAAATCAGCAGGTTGTTGCAGGCAGCACGAGTGGGCTCATGATGGGGAAGGAATGTGTGTGTGCCTGTGCCAGAGCAGAGCTGCTACTCAGGCTGATTTACTGCTACTACGGCTTGGGAGGCTAAGGTGTTGTTTTCTGGTAGTGAATTCTCTATGACAACTAATAATAATAAAACTGGTGTGTAGTGTTGACACTTTTTATCAGAAGATTCCAACATACTTGGAAAGGAAGCTCTAGCTTATAATGATTTTACAGGAAGGGAAACTGAGGAACAGAAAGAAAAGTGATCTGGCCAACACCATCACCCCAGCAGGGATTTGATGGAAGTCTGCTGAGAAAAAAGGCATCAGTAAAGGTTATGTAATAGTAGGGACTCACTGGGCAAGAATAAGAGTGTTTATCTGTGCTGAAGAGGGGCAGTGATTTCTCCAGAACCTTCTCACAGCTTCTGAGCTCTAAGAAGAGCTCAGCCTCTCTGAGCTATCAACTTTGTCTAAGTGCCAAGATTTAAAAGGCCAATAAAATAAAAAAATGGTGGTGATGGAAAAGGCAAAGCTGAGACTCAATATCTGATTATTAGCTGGAATATCTGTGACTGCACAGAGAGGTAGCAAAGGCTCCTTGCCAAACAGGGCTGTACATGCTACGGTTGTACATCATCCCTTTGGACAGTAAAGGAGCTAAGGCCTGAGGGAGGGGTAATACTCAGGTATTTTCAATGGGAACACAACATCTGGGGCTGAAAAGTGGATAAATAATTAGGGTGAAAATTCATCTGTAGGACTTTGGTAATGTTAACAAGAACTGTTCTATCATAACACGTACAAATCAACTTTAGAGACTTCCAGAAGCTCTGTATTGTATATGATCACTCTACTTCTGCCATTGCCCCGTTGTTAAATTCCTGCAAGGGTGTATATAACATTATTAGACCATGACCCCTTAAACTATTCCACTACATGTGTAACAGTCTGTCTCATGGAATTTTCCTCTTCTGTTTGCAATTGCCTAAGATCCCTGCAGCATCTAACAACAATTACTAACAGTGAAAAGTTAGATATAAATTCTAGAATGGATAAGTTATCTTTTAAACAGTTCGAAGACTGGAAATAAGGAAGACAGCAAACCCACTGAACAGAATTGATCCTGCCTGCATCTAGACATAGTCAGCATAATGTAGTCACTGGGGATGGTTTATCTGGTCAATGAAAACAGCCAGGGCCCTCAAAATTTGTCACCAAAGATCTTGATCTGTGCCCCAGCAAAGGTACATACCCTTCCCTGCTGACTACCAGAGGACTGCAGGGCAACTAAATCCACAGTTCATGGACATAAAATTAAAAAAAGTGGACACAGACTCAAGCAACCTGGGAATTGTTCTATTGCAAATCCTATGGGAGAGGAGTATCCTGCATTTGTATCCTAGTTTATAGATGTGTCTTCATCTGTTTTGTCAAGGCAAATGGAAGCACAAGAAAGCTCTGGAAGCAGTCTCAGAAATGCTGTTTAGTCAGGCTGGGGACTGTACTTACCTTCAACACATCCCCAGCCTGGAAGCTCAACTCGTCTTCTCCAGAAGCCGTGAAATCAAACTTGGCAATGGCTTCCATACCGTGTCCTGGGGCAGAGCAAATCTGGAAGAGGTAATGTCAGATACCTGTCAGCACCCATGAGCTACTGGGATTGTGGAGTCCAGCCTCTGGAAAGCTGACAGGCAGTGCTGGGATTTGCATGTGGAGAAGCACTCACCACCTATGGGCAGCCATTAGTTACTAGACTTGGAAAGACATGAGCAGGTAGAAGAGAGGGCATGGCTGAGGCTGCCAGTAGCTGAAGTCAGAAGTACAAATAACCAATAGTGTATGCTTACTCCAACAGATCTCTTTCTCTAGAGCAATCTCATGGGAAAAACATGTACAGACCAACTCTGTCACAGTTCCCAATAAAGCAAGTGACTCTGTCCTGCAACAAAAAAATGCATTTGCCCCCTACAGTGACTTACTCTTTGCCTCAAGAGTGAGTCAAATTGCAGACAAAACAAACAGGGCTGCAATAAATATATATTTTTTTTCTTGGACATGGGCCACAATATGGAAGGTTGAAAGAGTCTTTTCTTTGTGATGGCTTAACATGGGTGACCACAACTTTCAGGTAGGAAAACACTGTTTGCAGAAAGGCTGTATTCCCTATTTTGAAGGTGGCAGAGAGTTAGCCTACCTCAGTGTTGGTAACCCAGGAGCCTGAAATGTATCAGCCAGCCTGCAAACCAAAGCCTGCTTTTTGGCACCAGAGCAATGTGGCAGGGGAAGTGGCAAGATGGGCTTTGCTCCTTCACCACTTCCTGCTCACAAAACTCGGATGTACCCCAGCAGGACCATTTTTATAATCAAGAATTACCAATTTCCCATGGCTGGGTCATGTACCCCACAGCCCAGTGAAAGGCTGCCACTGACAAGCCAAGAAACAGCCAGGCAATGCCACCTTAAACAAGTGCACTGCTGGCAGATGTACTTGCAGCACAGCTTTTGAAGACAGCTGCAGTATAGAGGTAATTTTTGTGATTTCTAAGCTAGGTTTGTCTGGGAACAAAGATCCTGAAGACACAGGTTCCACTACCTAATCTCAATTCTCACAAAAACACCCAGTCTTTATGGCTTGAGAGGAAGTGCCAGCTTGCCTGACCCGAAATATTCTTAACCAGAAAGCTCTAGAAAGACACTGTACAAACAAATGAGCAACCCTAATTAGGGTTAGATATTTTTTATCAATTATAACTGACACAAGTTCCCCAAAATATAACGTGTTGATACTGAGCAAGATCCAGAATTTTGTCACTTCAAAATCAAAAGGCTGCTGTAGCCCTCCTTCTCGGCAATACATGATGTAATGCTCCTCTGACACACAACCCAGGGATTTAACTCTCTGTGTAAGCAGAATCCAGGGCCCAGCTCTGATACAGCTCAACTTAAACTGCTGAGAATGAGCTGGGAGAAAGCCTGCAGGGCAAAAGCTCCAGGACTGCACCGGCATTAGCGCAGGGATTCCAGAGGAAAACCACCAACGTGGAAAGATATAAAATGTCAGAGGAAAAACAAAACCATAGTTCAGTTGTGATAGTCAGTCTAGCTGAGCACCTGTCATGAATCATTTGGGTCACTGAGTTGAGTTGTCAGGGCCACCAGGCCTGACCTAGCTGGTGGCAGATGGCAACCACGGAGGGTGACTCTTCATTTCTGACTGATACCTGCAAAGAATCTTTGGGTGCCTTTACACAGGTGAGGAGTAGCTAACGTGTAGCCTAATATTTCATTAAATCCTAACTAGGTTCCGTGTGTGTTAACTATATACAGCAGTTATTTATTGACTAAATTGTCTATTTCCTGCTTGCAGAGTCCCTTTGCACCTGACTAAAGATCCCTGAAAAAAGTGATTCACAAGAGGGGCCATAACACCGCTGGATATTAGTTCTGAGATTTGAGATTTGTTATGATCACTTCTAACAAAACAAAAAACCAAAAAAAACCCCACAAACAAACAAACAAAAAAAACCCACAAAAACCAAACTAAAACAAAAAAAATTGATGTGCTTCCTAGTGGATTATGTTAGCACTGTCTTTTTTGCTGCTTATAAGTGACTTTATATCCATGTGACTGATAAGAGCTATGAAGCTATTTTTTGGCAGTCCACAGAGAGTTCTGCTTATTCAGCATGGATCTGTTTTAGAGCAATTGGGATTGCTTCAGTGCCAGGGCCTCCCAGGTAGGTCTGAGTATGAGCTGAGATCTGCCCTATGCCTGCCCCTCCAGCTTGCTGCCTTGGGCTTCCAACACCCAGCAGTGCTGAGCCCTAACACCCTAAGGCACATTGGTGCTTTATTCTCAGGCTTCAGCTTTCCACCTGCTCCAAACATTTTCACCCCCTATTCTCCCTGTTGACCTACTAATGTTCTTTAATTCTTACCTTTGATACTTTTGCAGATTAGGGTCACTCTCTGTTTTACTCTTAATCCAAGGCATTGGTGTTACCCTGCAGGTGCAGCTCGGGCCTGATTTGAGAATTGTCCTCTATTCTTGCACAGATATTGTTGGAGCTTCAGCCTGTAGCCCTCCACAGGCAGTGTCAGCCCCATTGTGTGCTAACAGAGCACGGGGTATTAAACTGGAGGGGAATTAACCCTTAGGGGAACTGGTTAAACAATTATAGTCTTTCATGGAAGACAATTGAAGGCTAAAGGAGAATTACTTTAGTAAGGGTTGTTTTTCAGTGTTTTATCTTGCAGTGTGGGCCTGCTGCAGAGAGATCTGAGTCAACAGTGCAGGTGGATTCTGGAACTCCTAAGTGCAGACTCCTAAGTCTTTACCTCAATCCCAGCTTGAGGTAAAGAACTCACTTAGAAACAATTTAAATGCAAACTATTTAAATACAAATTATGTCTTTAATTCTGTCCCTCAGATACATAACAAGTAGTGACGGTTCTCTCTTCAGGGGCAAGAGAGCAGAAAAACTTTTATTTTTCAATAATCCAAATGTTAAAGGTGCTATTGGAATGTGGCCCCCTCCAAAGGAGAAGAGTTTGTGAAACAGTTAAAATCTTCCCTCTCACTTCCTTTCCAATTTCAGCAATCCCAGCCTCAGGGAGAGACCAGGAGAGAGATACCTCTTCAAACAATCTAACACATGGATTAAATATGCCTTTCATTGCCAGCGGCTGGATTTAGAAGTGGCTCAAACAGCATCCACAGTGTTGGCTGTGTTGATAAATCAGCAATGCAGTAATGCTCTGGCCTTAAGCTCTTCCCCCTCCAACTACTAAAGCAACACTAGCCAATAATCCTGTCTTTGAACTCCAGCCTACCACTTTTCAGCACCTGAACTTCAAACCAGTTCTGTTTTTGTGATCCTGTTCCTCCCTCCATGTGTAACTTGAGAATCCCCACTCCACATGGGTCAGTGCTGGGCCCTCATGAAATCTCCCCTGCCAGCAGCCCATTCTTTCCCTCTCTGCATGCGTGTGACTCCCAGCACCACCCCACAACACTGACAGGCAGGAAAATTTTTCACTATTATCGTAACTTACATTTCTCAAGCACCTTTTATCCCAAATTCTGCTTTTAACTGCGTGGTGCATTTCCTTTACGCTTTTGATAGCCAAGGACAATTTTAGACTGTGCATAATGTTCTCTGTGAAAATCACCTTTGTAGAGAGTTTAACATGAAACATATGTAATGTTCAAAGAGGGATTTTTCAGTTCCAAGTGTGAGCTGACCAGTGCCCTTCATTTCGTGCTGGCTTTCTGCATGCAGGTGAATTTTCTCTGTGGTTCACCTTTGTAACTGGGGGGATTCAAGAGGCGTAAGGCTACAGCAGTTCTGTGGGACTGGTGCAACAGAAGGTTTACAAAATGAAAAAGCAGCCTGGCTTTCAGAGCACAAGGTAGGCAATTTAGTTTGGCAGAATGCCATTCCCTGAGCAAGAACATCAGTGTCTCTGTTGATGGAAAGTGCCAAGACCTAAAACATATCAGCACGCAATACAGCCTGACAGCAGAGTCCCAAAGAGTTTAACACCGTTACCCTACACCACATTGGTTCCAAATTCAGCAGTAACAATGCCAGGGAAGGTCACCACCTATGAAGAGTTTGTCACTCGGGGACTGCCCAGCCTCAGCCTTTCCCAATTTCACCTACTTACATCCAAAGGAGAGCAAAATTACAACAATGTACTCACTGGAACCATATGCAAAAAGTTTCTATTTGTATGTCTGTAGCATAAAAAATGGCACACATCTCCATTCTGAAGCTTCATCCAGAGAGGTTTTGCACCAACATATACAGCACGAGCTACTGTGCCTTTGTTTGGCTCTGCAAGAACAACCTATTGGACTGATGAGCAACCAGGGACAGGATTCAACCCTGAGCATCTGTACAGGAACTCCAGATGACATTTCAGCAGAAACAATGGAGAAGGGACCTGTAATCTAGAAGAGCTGTTGCAGATAACAGCTTTGTTTTCACCAGCTAAGCCACATACAAGTGACATGGGAATATTTAGCTCCAAAAACACAAACCTCTTGCTACTGAGTTAACGGCGCAGCTTCGCTGACTGTCAGTGATAAGAGGGTAAAATTTATAATGGAGAGCAAGTCACTAAAACACTCAGTGAAATGATGCATTTAAGTCTTGGCTATTCTACCACACAGAGCAACGCATAGCATTTTGGCTGAGCCTATGTACAAGCAAAATAAGCCTCCTAGGAACTGGATTCACAGAACAAACAAACTTTCAGGACTCTATAACCAACAGCAGTTGGTAAGAAATGCCCCAAACTAGGATGGGGCTTAATTTCCCTAGGGAACCCAGGTCTTCTGTGCTCCTTCCCATCACATCAGAGTAGAGTTGTGCAGCATAACATGGGAAGCTGCACAAAGAGAGGAGCACCTGATACAGTACCAGGTATGATATTACAGCATGATACTGCGACAGTATAAAATCCCAAATCTTTGCTGTGCTGGAAGGGTTGGTGTGGTGGGACTGGGATGGTGGGGAGACACCTCCTTCTGTTCGCCTACCTCCTCCCTCACATCCCAGCTGGTCAGATTTGGCAGAGGCAGAGGGATTTGTCCTGCAAATACA